ACCAGCTCAGGAGGAGCCCAGCCGAGGACCCGCGCCGGGGTGCGCACCGCTGTCCCCCAAGCTGGCTCTCCTGCCCTGGCTCCGTACGTGCCGCCGCCCTGCCGCAACTGGGAGCAAGCGGGGAGGGGAGAGTGAAGGAAGGCCAACCCCGCTGTCCCCTCAGATGCTCGTCTGCAGGTCACCATTGAGCAGGGTCCTTTGGGTTTCCGTGGTCTCGTTGAGCCTGGATTTGTCCTGCTTGCTGTCGCTCCGGTCCGCCTCGTCCATGCCACTGACCTTCACCAGGCAGAGGACGTTCTGAAAACTCTTCTTGAAGTTGTCGGACAAGAAGGCGTAAAGGATGGGGTTGGCGCAGCTGTTGGCGTAACTGAGGACCACCACAAAGTCGAACATGCCTTTGAGGACAGGCGTGGGCACGATCAGGACGGAGACTGAGGAGACGTTGAAGATGTAGAAGGGGAGCCAGCAGAAGATGAAGACGGCGACCACGATGGAGACCATCCTGGTGACTTTCTTCTCAGACTTTTTCCTCTTGGAGGAGCCCACTCTGATGCCCGAGGACTTGACTTTGATAATGATGAACAAGTAGCAAAGGCAGATGATGGTGAGAGGCACCAGGAAGCCCAGGATGAAGGTGTAGATGATGAAACCTGTGTACCAGGCGCCCGACTCTCCCGGCCAGATGATGGTGCAGCTACTCCTGCCGTGATTATGCTGCACCCCCGCGTAAATCATGATGGGCATGATCACCAACAGGGAGACTCCCCAGACGGCCACATTGATCATTTTGGCTGTCCTGGGCCGCCTCCACTTGGCAGATTTAATGGGATGGACGACAGCCAGGTACCGGTCAACACTCATAACTGTCAAGCAGAAGATACTGGTGAACTGGTTGATCCCATCCACCGTCATGACAATTCTGCAGATGGCTTTGCCGAAGGGCCAGTGTACCAGGGCGACCTGCATGGCCAGGAAGGGCAGGCCGAGCATGAACAGCTCGTCTGCGATGGCCAGGTTGAGGATGTAGATGTTGGTGATGGTCTTCATCTTGGCGTATCGAAGGATGACGTAGATCACCAGCGTGTTGCCGCACAGCCCGACGATGCAGACCACGAAGTAGATGAAGGTGAGGATGGCGTTGCTGGTCAGGTCAAAGTGTTGGCCTGTGGCGTTCTGCGACCCGTTGGTGGGCGTCTCCATGGAGAAATTGTCGAAGGGGGAAGCCGGGGAGAACCAGAACGCGGTCGCGTTGGGCAGCTCGTATTCCAGCTCCATGGCTCTGTTTGTCCCTGGGCACTGCTGGTTCAGAGGAGCCGAGATGTCATCCCTTGCTCTGGGGATGGGGGGAAGATTCTAGAAATCAGAGAATAAATAGAAATTAAGGCATTCCCGGGGAGGATTTTGCCCATCCTGATGCCGAGCTCCGTGCAAAAAGATGCTCCCTGGAGGGGGTCTCCCCAGCCAACCTCCCCAGTCTCCCCTCCGGAGCCCGAGCACTCTGCCCTGGACACACCACAGCTCCTCCAGACCCCGGCCACAGCAGAATCCTTGTAATTCCCAAAATCCACCCAGTGAGTCGCCGGTGGTGATGCCCGGAGCACTGGGCGCTGGAGAAAAACCTTTTCCCGTGCCGTGCCGTTCGGCGGGGCGCCAG